ACTTCATCTCTCATCTCTCTTTTTCTCTATCTTTTTCTCATTCTCACTGACGTTTTGTTGTCGATGTCGACGGTAGCATCGTTTTATCATTTTTCTAATTTCACTATTGTTTTCAATATTTTATTCTTCATGATTCTTTTTTCGATCTCGACAAGTAAACGATGATGATGATGATGACGAAGAGATCTATATGTGGAATAAAAAGCAACAACAATAACAATATAAGATATCGAACAAAATATAAAAAAAAATAGATTGAACACCACCAAACCAAAGCAACAACTACGGCTGTCTATAGAAAGCTATAAGCTATAAAATTTATGAATTATTCTTATCTTGACTTGGAAAGATTTACAGAATTTAGTGACTAGCTTTCACTGCTTTTCTCACTAGCGATGCCGACCGAAGAAACAAAAAAAATAGAAGACAGCGTACCAAAACGATTCTTACGGACGAACTATACTAACATTTTTTGTTTCTCTTCTTCATTTTTTCATTCCTTTTTTTTTGGCAGCCCATCGATACGAATAAATGAAAAAAAAGAATAGACGAAAAAAATTCATTTATTAATTCTTGTCTCATACTCGATCAACTTGATCGCTCGACCAAACACACACACACACCATGGCTAACAAAAAAGCCAAAATGCGAAAACAAAAACTAAACCGATCTTATATTTACTTCATTGTTCTTATCATCATTGCAGTATTGGTTTTGGTTTGAGATTGGTAAATTCTCTCTTTTGACTGGACCAGATATAAACATGCATCTTTAGCTGTTCAGATTTTTTCACATTCACACATTCGATACGAATTATTTTTCTATTCGTGTCTTATCGAAGGCCAAAAATCCATATTTAACGTCGTATTTTGTTCTTGTTGTTAGATATACTATTATTCTAGATACATATCTGTTACAGATATTCATTTTTCATATATCTGAATTCGATCATATTTTCGTTTTTTCATTTGATTTATTTGAATGTGATGATAAGTCACATCCGTTATATTGAAATTTCACTTTAATAATGTACTGACTTTTTCTTAAATATCAGATAATAATAATACAATGTTTAAAGATAATCATGATCATCATAGACAACATTAGAAGATTTTTTTCAAGATTGTTTGAATCTGTTAATTACCGATTTAGGCCAATCTCTTTTGTTATTCCATTAGTTTCGCTCACACATTTATCGACTTGCTGAATGTTGAATGTCAAAATATTTTCGGGTAAAAGTTGTTCGGTTTTTTTCGCTGATGGATATTAATTAAAAGGCAACTAATGAGAGAGCTTCTCAATTCCGGTTCTTAACATAAAAACATCATTTTTTCTATTCTTCTTATATGGCTGTTTGAAATCATTGTAAATGGATCCACATTTTTGTTTTCTTTCTTGGATGTCGACACCTGGTCTTATTTTGTTGTTGTTGTTTTTATTTTATTCTTTATTCAATCTTTTACATTCCAACCAAAAAGCTGTCTTTGTTGTTTTTCTTCATTTCTTTTGAAAATCTTTGAGCTCATTGTATATGTCTAAATAATTAACGATTTGTAAATTGAAAAGTTTTGTTTCTTTCCCTCTCTCTTCTTTTCACTGATTTTACTGCCTTTATTTTATTAACTACAGATTCTATATAGCAAAGTAATAATTCTATTTTATCATCCAATTCGATTCAAATTCCATTCATCATTTCATATGTTTCTTTTTTTGCTAAAAATTCTTCCTTTTTTTCACGATTATCAAAGAAAAAAAATTGATTGATCCACAATCTATATATATTTTATATCTGAAATGATCTAGTTATCCATTCAATGTATCAATTCAATCTTTCGTCACCATTACAATAATCATTTTGTTTGTTTGTTGTTTTATTATTATTATTATTATATAATATAAATGTCTTCATGTGTGATTATTATCAACAGACATTGAATTTTTTTTTCTAGTATGTGTTATGTTTGTGTGTAAAGATTAATGGCTCCCATAATTTTCGGGAGCACGACGGCAACAACAAACTATAGCTGTTAGTTGTTGCTGTCATCGTCAAATATATATGTTGTATGTATGTAGTCGGAATGTTTGTATATATCCTATGTCTGTTGTTGTTGTTGCCGGTTTAATGTTGTTGTTGTCGTTATTGAATAAATGAATGCCCGTAACTCGGGATTTTTCCCGTCTCGCCTTTATTTGTTATGGGGGATATACACACATTCCACTCTTTTTTTTGTCATTTCTTCAATTCGGATAAAGAATGCATAGAAATATAAAAGGGGACTGAAGATAAAGTGAGAAAAAAATGAGCCGTATCTGTAAACAAAACAAAAAAAAAAGAAAAAGAAAAAACGGCGGCTACTATTTACACACAATCGGTGTTGATTTAATTATCCGATGAATAATTAGCTCATCATCATCATTATGGCCATCATCACTGTTGTTGATGAATGATTATTAAATAAATGCTTTGTGTCATGAATTTGTCTGTATAATGTTTTCGACGTCCTTAATGCTTATTTAAATATATATAGTTTGGTCGAGCATATTCTTTTTTTGAAGATTGAATGAAATTCATTTGAAGAAAAAAAAATCAATGTGATACTGATTTTTCTCTTTCTTTTTTTTCATTTCCTGCTTCTGAATTTTGGTCATGATTTGTAGAATAAATATGAATTTATCAATTGGAGAAAAAATTGTGATCCCATTTTACCACATTTATCCAATCATTTCATTATTAATGATGTTTTATCAAAAATTTTAAAAAATTAATTTTTTTATTCGTTTTTCTTGTTGTTGCTAAATTTTGACGGAAATGTTTTTTTTTTTGGTTTGTTTTTCGTTTTCCTCTTTTTTCGGTTATTGAAGACGATTGCATTTTTTTTTGTTGATGTCATAAAGTGTGGCTAATTCAACAAACATTCTTGTTGAATTTCGATGACTTTTCTTTGGTTTTTTTATCATGTCTTTTTTTTGATGGATATTAATTGGTTGATTGATAAAAAAAAGAAGAGAAAAAAATTCCATTCCATTTCATGTGATTCCATTCCACTAAATGTTGCTTATCATCATCATTGATGGCAATGTTATAATTTTCATATGCATATTTTTTTAAAATAATAATAATAAACGATTTTAATGATGATTATTTGCTTTTTCCTCTCTTGGTTTCGGAAGTTTCAAGCTAACGTTTGAATTAGTAATCATCATCATCATCATCATCATCAGAAAGAATTCTTTGCAGAACAAAATTGACAAGTTTTTCTTTTTTTGCTAAAAAATTCAACTATGAAAAGAAACAACAATCTCAATGTTTGAAATGAAAATAAAACGCATATATTTTAATGGATGTATTTTAAATTAAATTTTTTTTGTACTCTTCCCTCTCTGTATCTTTATAAGCATTGATTCTTTTTTCTTTTTTGCTCTAAATAAGATCTGTATGGATGAATTTTTTCTCTCATTCTCTCTTCAAGTACGATTTAAATTGTCATCGCCAAATGCATTTCTTTATTTTATTTTTTGTCATTACTTTTGCCTCAAAACAACAATGACAGCATAGGATTGACAACAACAACAACAATTGTGTAATGCTGATGATGATGATCGCCATCATCATCACGACTGTGATGATGATGATTATGATATTTCTGTTTCAATCTTGTTTGCTTGTCAATGATTATTATTATTATCATTATTGAAACAACATAGTCGACAGACCATACAACATCACCATCATAATCATTGATGATCATCAAAAAAAAAGAACAAAGCAAAAAAACCAATCGAGTTACGAAAAAAAAACCATATGGATCGAGGATATAACTGTTTTTTTTCATTCTTTTTGATACTCAATCTTTTTTTGCCATCAGCAATTGGTAAAAGTATTTTCCATTGGTTATTAGCACTTGTCTAATATGTCTATCGTTTTTTATTTTTTCACTTTCGAACAAATGATAGTTTTTTTTCATTTGGTCTGTCCGGTTCTATTTACTGTTGGTAGTATTCTTCATGAAATCCACATCTTCTGTTTGTAAAGATGTTACTAATGATGATTAGCACTAACACGCAGACTGATGTATTGAGTTAACGATTAGATTCAAGATTCAAAAGGCACACATCCTTGGAAACCAAAATGGATAATAGAAAAAACATCGGAAAAAATAGTGAAAATCAGCCGTATTGTTGTTCATGATGATGATGTTGACAGTCTTTTATTCTGTTGGTTGATATTTAATGATACTTTTTAGTATCATACACTGATGCAAAATGATTCTATACGTGTACGTTGTTGCTGTTATGATTTTGTTATTTCAGTGGTCGATTGAACGAAATAATAAAGAATAAAGAATCTATGTGTATAAATGTCTATATATATGAATGTTTGAAATATAAAAGTGATGATGAAGTGACACTAATGACAATTTTTCTTTCAATGATCATCCTAATGATGATGATGATGATAAAGATGTGATGACGATTCACTAACTAGTACATTTATAACCGTTTACAAATGAATCAAACGAATCTGAATTCACACTATGTATTAGTTGATGATGCCAGATGATGATGATGATAACTTTTCAACAAAAAACAAAACATAAAGATGAAGGAATGGTATCAACCACGAATAAATGATGGACTTTCAGTGATCGCTTTTTATAGCCGATTATAATGATCTCATTCTCAAAATGTCTACTTATTTTTTTTCAATTGTCATTCATTTGTTGTTGTTTTTTTTGCTTGTTCATCCATTCAGTTTAGTATGGAATTCTATTTTTGAATAACATAAATTCAGTGATTCTCTATACTGGCTAATTTTCACTGTTTTTTTCCTATTGGACAATAACGATTTGAAAGGTGAAAAAATCAATATAGCACATGAGTTGACTGATAGATGGCGTGACTAGTTCAAACATTTTTTCTTGTTCCTTATCAATAGTAGAATATTCTGATACAAGTTAAGTAATTGTTTTTTTTTTGATTTTTTAAATTAATTATTTTAGCTCGTAACACTTTGCCCATTCACTGCATAATTGAACGAATGAATAGCACAATATCGGCCAATGGGTCATCGGGTCCTCAACAACAACAACAGCAACAGCAAATAACCGGATCTTGCCATCAGCAATCAACTTCTTCATCATCATCCACACCTCCACCATTAAATGTTAATATTTCCAATCAATCGAATACAAACGATCTCTCACAGATGACCAATCATCCTTCATCTACAAACACATCTGGCATATCTGTTGCTGCATCTAATTCTCCTACAACGGCAGGAATCATATCGAATTCACCTCCATCATCATCAACAACACTTGCATTCGGAAATCTAATAGAACAAGATACCTATGCTATTCTACCATCGACCATTCCATATGCAGACATTATTAGAGCCGTACTTACCAAGCTGGGATATGCATCACAAGAAATGGTTGGCGCCAAAGGTAGGTGTCCTTATTTTCATCATATATCATTACCATGAATAATCATAAACCTAATTAGTGTTGATTTCAAAATATTTTGTTCATTTATTTCTTAGTCTTTCCATTAGATCATGCAATCATTAAGTTTGCGTGAATGAAACAGAAAAAATTTATTATTGATCAACTGTTGATGATGATGATGATGATGATTAGTGTTCTGGCTTTAATTGTCTTTGCTTATAAATCATACTTTCAAAGTTTATTTGAGTACTTCGACTGTTTCAAGTTGACTGTAAAATTTATCGATCACCTTACAAAGCCTAGCAAAGTTGTTTTTTCAGCATTTTAGTTGGAAAATATATACATTAACCATATACAAAAGATATCGTAAAGAATATAACTTTTGATAAATAAGATCATCTATCAATCTATTGATAGATAATGATTGTTTTTGTTTAAATAAACAAATAAATGAATGATTTTCATGTTCCATTTCTTATATGGATAATTGACATCAGAGAAAAAAGAGTCAAAGATCTTTTTTTATTAATGAAACAAATAATAATGAAATAAAAATTACGAAATAAACAAAACATACTTTATACATCCATCATACACAAATGTATTATGTTTTGTCATGTGCGTGTGTATGTGTGTGAACCAAGAACAAATAAGTAAATATCCACCAAATTAAATGAATGAATGAATGAATGCGATATTGGCCCTGATCACACGTGACCAAACATATACCAATGTATTTTTACAGAACCCAATGTTCCATTGTAGCATAAAATGATCTTTCTTTCTTTTTTGTTTCTTTTCGTGTATTGGTTTTCTTTCAAGCTTGATGATAATTATGATGATGATGATGATTCTCTCACAGACCATTACTTCGAATTGGAAGAAATGATGATGGCGACAACCGATTTCAAACATTTTATACAACAATAATAAAAAATATTCTAGTTGACTAATTACGAACTTGAAAAATATGCTATCCTACAGCCCCCTTTTCCAAAACAATATATATCTCGAATACATGGTCCACTTGTTCATCATAATAAGCTCACTTTATATAATTTTGTCTCATTTCATTTTGTTTTCTCAATTTTTTCTTTGAATCATTTTATTATTTTTGGGGTTCTGTATGTGTGACAAGAAGCATAATATTTTTTCTCGCCTATTGCAAAGCAATTGGTTTTTTTTGTTCATAGTTGCATAAAAATCGTTCAATGAATTAAAGTCATTATGAATAAATTCATCATCATCTCTCTATTTTCACTCAGGATCCACTATCTATCCTGTCCACCGTTTTTTGTTTTTTAACTTTTTATTTGATTCATCATAAAAAAGCGAAGCAAAACGTTCAAATCGATTTTTCTTTTCCAGCATAAAGAATTTCGAATAATGAATCATAATAATCATCGGCATCATCAACACTACTACGACCAAACGAAATGAGCCTTTTTTAGGAATCTATAATAAATTCTTGAATTTAACTTTTTTCTTTCTTTCTTTTAATGGATGAGAGGGGAGTATTGAGGTTTGGTATGCTTAGAATTAGATAAATGACAGATATTTATATAAAGGCAGTGTAGCCAACTTTTTATTTCTTAAATTTTATTTCCTTTTTTTGTGACTATGATAATATGTGTGTGTGAGTGAAAGAAGCCGCAACTCAAATTCTGATTAGTCGCCTCTTTTTTTGTGTGTGTGTGTATGTATGTTTCGGCAGTTTTGAGTCAAGTCATTGTTATTCAAATAAGACCGTCATAACTGAATAACAAGTTTAAAATTCTTTCTTTTTTTCTTTCTTTTTTTTCTTCTATAAAAAAATACTTTCATCATGATCATAAACCATGTGTGTAGTTATTTTTTTGGAGTGACTTAATTTTCGATTGAAAACTGTAATTAGTCATTTACTTTACCTTTTGGTTTTTTTAATTGTTCTAAAATTTCGATTTTTTTATCGAATAAGTAAAATGATCTTCGGTTCATCATAATCATGATTTTAAACCATTTACTATATGCAAAGATTTGACAGTCATCATTATTAATGTTGATAATTCAAGAAAAATAAAAAAAATTTCGGTAGCCAAAATCGATTTTCGACACGAATATTAATCGAAAATCAAGATCGATTAGCGATTTAGTTGAAATCCTTTTTCTATGAACTATTGCTTTAGATGATTCGATCAATGTTTGTTGCCATACACCATAAGGAAAAAGAATAAATTCATTTGGTTCTTCAAGAAAAATACACCATTGATCTATGAGTAATGTGTATTTTTGTGTATGTTGAAATTCATCAAAAATGAATTGAATTAAATAAACCAAGAGAAAAAAAAACATGTGTAAATTAAAGAAAAGAATCGAATGTACTGAAGAAAAAAAAGTAAAAAAAACAGGAGAATAATAAAGAATCATATCAACAAACAGCAAATATAAATGTAGAAAATGAAAGACAAAAGACAAAATAGAACAAATAGACCAAATCACAGATGGAGGTGAATTTCGTTGTTTTCTTTTTTAAACAAGAGAGAATATTCTGTCTTTGAGAATGACTATTATTATTATTAGATGCCTATGATGATCATGATGATGATGACAACGACGGTCATGATATTACAATTATTATATACTAAAATAGTCTGACTTTATTTTTTTTCTAATGAGACTTGGATTTTTTTCATTCTTCGTTTTTTTTCTTTTCTTTATTCTTTCATCAATGATTCTATTGAATTCAGAATCAAAAAAAAAGAGATACACAAGAATCGAAGAAGTAAAAAACGAATGCCGAAGACAGAAAACCAAATGAAACGAAAAATTGAGATGTAAAAATGAAAAGAATGAATATAAAAGAAAGAAAAAGACAAACCAAGCAAATTTGAAACAATGAGATATCGAGAAATAACAAAAAAAAAAATATAGAAACAGGGTGAAATAAAAAGTGGGTGAAAAAAATCAAAGCAAAAGTGCTTGAAAACTAGAATTTAAACTAATTTCGTTTGCTTACTTGTTTTTATACATTTTTTCATTATTATTATTTTATTCTTTATTCCCTCGGTCTATCGGTCGGTCTTCTGAAACATTGTTATTAATGTATACTTTTTGTATATGTATTGTCCGCTTGTGTTTTTAGTTTGCACACACCACAAAGATTTTTCTTATTTCGAAAAATTCTTCAATACATACAAATACTATGCATGTTTGCCTGATGAACACGACATTTGCTTTCAATTTTTTTTTATTTTGGTTCAGCCTATCTATCTGGATAATATCCTCTTTTTAGTTCCTTCTTTACCCCCCAAAAAATATAGTTATTTTATTCTTTATTCTTGATTTGCCATGTTTTCTCATCCATACATCCATCCATCCATCTATCTATCTATTCATTTGATTCGATTCGATTCATACAGTTGATTCGAATTGAATAAACCGAATGAACAAAACGAAAACAAAAAACGAACGAAAAGAAACGTAAAAGTGAAATCAAAATTTACTTTTTTTTGTAACATTTCATCTTTGAATTTATCTCACTGGGGACAATTTTCTTTTTCTTTGTCTCTTTTTTCTCTTGTAAGACATGAATGAAAAAAACGAATTATATTCAATAAGAATTCTCTTTGCCTTCATGTTAACTGCCTTGTACAAACATTCTGTATTCACAGGGGTTATGATTACGACTTTTTTCTGTAACCATGAATGAATTTATTGGACTAAGAAATGAAATCGGATAGCAATACTAATTCTCATCAACATAACCATCATCATCATTGAATAGAATCAAATTATCAAAGACAATTAGATGATGAATTCTTTATTCATTCATATTTAAAGCCTTTTTTCATGTTTGGCTAACTGTAATTTTGACATAATCACAATATTGCAATCCAAAATTTTGATGACCAGATTTATACATTTGATAAATAATTTGTTTTTTTTATTATTATGATTAAGAAATAAAAGAAATATGAACAACCTTAAAAAATCATTTTGTAATGTGAGATGATATTTTTCATAATAATAATAATGATGAAAATCATTATCATCATGGCCATTTGCTGACATTATGGTTTAATATTCCGTTCCTAGAATCTAATATGATTATGAACAGATAAAGTTGATGAATCCTTGATAGAATTGTTCGGGTTATTAAATTTTTTTAAATACATAATTTCAAGTACCATTCAGATTATCACCATCATCATTATTATTTATTAGCCGGTAAGATTTTTTTTTTGAAGAATTTGTTTCGAAATGAAATTTCATTTTAAAATATGAAACTCATGTGGTCAGTGTCATTCATTCAAGATGGTAAAAGTTTTCCGCTTATAAATATGTTTCATTAATATATTCTTTATATTCACATCTTACATTCACATATCCAAATTATTCTTTATATTTTGATACTTGTCACAACTGATGCCCAGAGTGATTTTCATTTCAACAAAAAAAAATATGTCGCATATTGCCTGTCAAAGTTCTTAATTATTTCATTCATCATTGATAACTTTCAGCAATGGGAGAAGAAAAAAAAAAGATTTATTCCTTTCGTTTTATTTTTTTCACATTTCCTATGATTTTAGCTTCTATAGTGAATTCAGTTACTGGAGAGCTGCCATTGTCGATGAATTTTGCATTAGAGTCTTTTCTATTATAAAAAAAAAGAAAAAAAATTGTTTATTTCATTCTTCATTAAAATTTTAACTTTTTTTATGAATAGAAAAGATGGTGATATGAAGGCGGAAAACGGAGAGAAAAACAAGAAATGAGATGACTAAATAGGTATTTGACAGTTATTAAAAATGTATTTTGCTTCTTTCTTTCTTCTTCTTCTTTTTAGTAGAAAAAGGATATTAGCTAATATGAAAGAAAAAAAGGAAAATAAAATTCAACTTTAAAAAGAGAATTTCATTCACTTTGTTGTCTTGTTTAATAATATTGAAACAACAAACAGTACAAAAATATATTTCGAAATGTTTTTCTTTGTTTTGTTTTGTTTTTTTTTGGTAAAATAT